TCTCTCTCTCTCTCAGAGACTCTCAGTTTTAGGCTTTTTATAGAGGGTCATGCTGTGTAGCTCAGACTAGCTTCAAACTTGAAATCCTCCTGGCTCAGCTTCCCTAGTGCTGATATCATAGGGGTACCCCATCATGCCTGGAAAAATGCACATCTACCAATGACTTAGAGGAAACAGCATGCTCCCAGAACACCAGAAATCTAAACCACTTACATAGTCTGCATCCAATCACAGACTAGATCTGTAATAGAAAGTTTCTCAGGTCCCACCCACCCCACCCCCACCCCATGGTCCAAACAAATCTCTCTCACTCACGGTCCCATAGCTGCTTGGACCCAAGTAAACACACAGAGGCTTTTATTATTCACAAACTGTATGGTCTATGGCAGGCCTCTTGCTAGCTAGCTCGTATATCTTAAATTAACCCATTTCTATTAATCTATGTTTTGCCACGTATTCCGAGGCTTACTGGTCTACTGGCATGTTGTTCCTTGGGTGACAGGCTGTTGTCTATCTCCAGACTCCACCTTTTTCTTTCCTGTCTCCTTGGATTTCCTGCCTGCCTCTAAATTGCCCTGCCATAGGCCAAAGCAACTTATTTATGGGAACAACATATATTCACAGCATACAGAAAAACATCCTCCAGAATAGATCAGATGACAACATATAGGGTCATTAAGACACTTTATTTTAACCAGGCGTGGTGGCACACGATTTTAATTCCAGCACTGGGGAGGCAGAGGCAGGGGAAATCAGGACAGCCAGGGCTGTTACACAAAGAAACCCTGTCTCAGAAAAAAAAATTTTTATTCCCTCCATTCTTTCCCCCCAAATCCCCTTTTAAGGGTTGTTATACTTTGTTGCAGGGATTTTCTACTCCCTAAAAGAGAGAGGGGCAGTTGAGTATAAAGAGGGCTGGAGGTGTGGTTACCTAGCTGGCGTGATGCCCCAGGCTCCATGTGCAATGTAGCAGTCGGGGGAGGCCAGATAGTGGTGTGCATGTGCAGACCCAGCTCGGAGGCTGGAGCATGAGGATTTGAAGTCTGTGTGCAACCCGACTTACACATCCTCGAGGAAATATATCAGGCTCCTGCTTCTCTACCTTCTGCAGCACTAATAACTGATCACTTTAAGCCGGTCAAACTCTGTACCTCTCCTGTTATATGTGAGCTACTTGAGGCGGCATATGGATTCCCATACCAATCCTACTTGACCTTTCAGAGAGGGTGCTTAGAAAATAGCTGAGCTCTATACTTCAAAGGGCAGCAAAGACACACTGAAAATGCCTCTTCTAGAAATAAAGCCACTGTTCCTGTAATTATGAGAAGATATTTTGTTATTATTTGGTTTGGTTGAATCAGTGTCTCACTATGTAGCCCAGGCTGGTTTTGAACTCATGATCCTCCTGACCACTTCTCCAGTGCTGGGATTTCGGAGTTATACCACTATACATGACTTTGGAGTTCCTTTCTTTTTGCATAATTAGTTAGAATATGAAATCTAAGGATTGTAGGTGCAGCTCAGTAGTAGAGTGTTTAGGTAGTATGCACAAGGCTGTGGGTTCAATCCTCAGCACAGCAAAAATAGTAAAAAGAGCTAGGCATGGTGATTCATGCTTGTATTCCTAGCTCCAGGGAAGCTGAGTCAGGAGGATCATGAGTTCAAGACCAGTCTTGCATACATGAGATCTTGTCCCAATACATAACTTCCCCCAGCACCCTGTGGAGCAATTACCAAGGATAGCACATGCATTCCAGAACATCAGAGGAGAGTGTTAGTGCTGAAAAGAATCTTAGTCATCGCTTCCTGGACTTTTAAACTGGGGCACATATACACCTTGGGATCAATGGCAGGGGGCCAAGGGGTTTTGTGACGCCACAGGATGAACGCAATATGCTTTCTTGAAATGTCAATTTTAGTCTAATATAAGAAATTTAAAAAACATTTCACTATTGAAACAAATACAGATATGTCATGAAAGAGAATGCAAAGTTTAGACACATGTTTAGGATAAAGAATACATTTAGAGCTTTGGCTTACCTGCTAAAATGGACATTTGTTTTGTTTGTGGTGTGGTGTGTGTGTGTGTGTGTGTGTGTGTGTGTGTGTGTGTGTGTGTGTTCATGAAGATGTGTTGCGGCAAACATTGACGTGTGCGCACATGCACGTGGAGGCCAGAGATCAATGTGTCTTCTTTGATGCATCTGCACATCATTTTTGTAAGATTCTATGTATATGAGTGTTTTGACTGCATATCCGTAAGTGCATGGGAGGCCAGAAGAGGGCATTGGATACCCCTTAGATGGGAATTACAGTCATTTGTGAGCCATTATGTGGATACTGGAAGTCAAACCTGCGTCCTCTGCAAGAGCAACACGTGCTCTTCACTGCTGAGCCATCTCTCCAGCTCCCCTTTCTACCTGATTAGTGAGACATAGTCTCACTGAACTGGGAGCTCACCATTTAGCAAGGTTGTCTGGCGAGTGATCAGGATCCAGGATTCCATCAATGTTTGGTGTCCAAGTGCAGGGCCTCACACTTGCCTGGCAGGCACTTTAGCTGTCCAGCCATCTCTCCAGCCCTTGCTTTTTTGTATTTTGAGACAGAGTTAGACCCAACAGCACAAGCTGCCCTGGAATTCATTGCAATCCTTCTGTTTTAGCCTCCAAACTCACTGGGATTACACACCAGACTCCAGAGACTTCATTTTTGGTTGCTTCAGCTAAAAAACAAATGAAAGAAAAGTTTGAAATAGACTGATCTAGCTCAACCTTGTGTTTTCACAGGTATAACAGCAGGGACCCACAGGTAATGAAGAATTCAGCCAGAGCTACATTCAGTGCCTTTGCAGCAACAGCTAGAACCAAACCCACCTCTGTCCGAATGTCGTTTCTTCCCAGCTAGTTATTTGTCCTGTGTCTGCTGTCCTAACTGTATGTCATTGCTGACTGTTGTCTGTTTTAGCCTTCTTTGTTTTGCAGAGGCTCCTACAAGCTGTCCTGAGGGAAAGCTGTGGCTAGGAAGCTCTGAGGCCAAGGTAGACCCTGGAGTTCCTCTCTATAGCATCAAGTGCACTGAGTAACAATGTGTTTCTCAGCTGTCACCTGTAAATGATGAGCACACACATTCATGCACGCACATGTGAGAGCATGCATGCATGCTTGTGTGCCTCACAAATAGCAAAGTCTCAGGACCTTCCTAGACAGAGAGACAAAGTTTTGCTAAGCAGAAACCACAGAGCTGAGCTCAGGACTGGTGAGACAGTTCAGACATTAACAGTGCTCACAGCGCAACCCTGACAACCTGAGTTCAGTCCCTGGAAGCCGCATTCAAAGGTCTGATGCAGTGGTGCGCATCCACAATCTCAGAAGTCTATGGGTAGACCAGAAGTGGATGGGAGAATGACCTGAAACTTACGGACGAGCTTACCTGATCCGCACAGCCCAGCACCAACAGGACAAACTGTCCCAACACGGTGGAAGGAGAGAACTAACTCTTGAAATTCACCCTGTAAGCCCCATAAATGTCTTGTGGCACACACACACACACGCACACACACACACACACACACACACACACACACACACAGGAGCTAAGTTCAAGCGAACTGCATTCCCCTCATTTACACAGAGAAATGCTGTAAGGCCAGTTCATCCCATGTCTGGCATCTCTGTCTCCCTCAGGCTGCTAGGCTAAAAGAAACACTTCGTATAAAAATGAAATGAACTTGAGCTGGGTGTTCTGTGATCTCAGCTCTCAAGGAGGCAAAGGCAGGAGGGACAGCCTGGTCTACACAGAGTTTCAGGACAGTTAGGGCCACATAGCAAGACTCTGTTCAAGGTTGCAGGGAGAGACCTTGAATTTTAAAAGTCCAACTCCCTTCAATCTCCCCATCCCCAATTCTAGGGTCCAGAGAAGAAAGAGGAGGCCCTCATCTTACCTTTCTGCTCAGTCTCCTGCTGTCAACTTTGTAACTATCATGTCTATTTTGCATTCAGATTCGCAGAGACCTCCCTAAATTCATAGACTTACAAACACCTTAAAGCTAAAGCTAAACTCTTGATTTTACGCAGCCATGTGCAAATGTCTCACACCGGCCCAAGTATAAACAGAAGTACACTTCCCGTTAGGGAACACAAGGCAAGCAAAGGCCTCCGCCCACACTTCTCCCTCAACACCCAGCCCCACACGCACACAGCCACCATTGATATTCACATTCAGGGTCATCAGGGTCACACACACCAGCCTGAGATGTGGCGCAGGTTGCCAGTGTTCGAGCCACATTCCATAGTGTCCCATTCCTCTCAGAGAACTAATAGATCGGTCCACAGAGATGTCATCACCTGCCGACTAATGTCAAGTTACAGCCTGAATAAATGGTCCATTACCTCCCCCATTACAGGTAGGCCCACAGGAAAATGACAGCAGACACAAAGGCGACTTGTTCCTCAGTGTCACTGCAGGAGACTGAGCAGAAAGGCAAGATGAGGGGCTCCTCTCAACCGGAGAGCTTTTCTTTCTTCTCTGGACCCCAGTGTTGGGGGTGGGGAGATTGAAGGGAGTTGGGCTTTTGGAAGACTTCTCAAGCTCTGGATACCGAGGACAAAAGAAAGACAAGAAGGCGGGGAGGGGAAGGGAGAAATGTTGCCTCCTTTATTGCAGTGCTGGAAATGGAACCCAGCCTCAAGCATGCCAGGCCAATGGTCTACCATTGAGTCACACCCCACCAAAGATTAATGTTTCAACTTGGGTTCATCCTTGCCAGGATGATACTTCCTCTTTTGTATCAAGCCTCAACATTCTACAGATAGTGGCTTTATCATTAGCAATCACTGACACCAGACTCCAGGTCTCTAAATTGCACTCCCCCACCCCCGCCATATGGCATGGCTATATGGCATTCAACAAGTGACTTTAACCTCCCTACCCTCAGTTTTAATGTTTGTTACAAACCTAGATAACAATAGCATCTACTTCACGGTGTTAGGACACGATTTAAACGTAAGGCACTTACAAAAGTGTATGGAGTTTAAGATACCCAGTGAATGCATTATACCAATGAGCAACTTCCCACTTTCCCCAGGCCTCCACTCCCTTACTGTTTGTTTACCCACCCAGGGCTGACAGTGTGGTTGCCCTGTTTCTGACAGACAGGTCTTCTAAAGCCCAGAGAGAATAAGAGGGACTCAGTATCACAGAAAGATAAGCAAGGTTAGAGCTGCTTGCTTCAGAGGGACCCACCAGAAGCCAAGCTTCGTTCATACTTCACCTGTTCTTAGGTGCAAAAAGCAGAGTGTCATTTTTAAAGATTTATCTTTACTATTTTTAATTACGTGTCCATGCGTGAGGATACGCACATGAGTACAGGGGCCAAGCGGCCAGAGGCATCAGATCTCTCTGGTGGTTGGGAGCTGCTGGACTTGAGTGTGGAGAATGCAATCCAGTCCCTCTAGAAGAGGAGGAAGTGCTCTTCATGCCTTCCCGCCCATAAGAAAAGACGCAGCATCATTTAAAGAACCTGGAAGAAGAAGCATAACCGAAGCCGGGGAATTGTAAATTGAGAGTCTGAGAGATGGCTCAGCAGGTATAGGCACTTGCCACCAAGCCTGACCCCCTGGGACCCACATGGTGGAAGCAGAGCATCAGCTCATAAAGTCTGCTCTTTATCAACACATGAATGCCAGACACACAATAAACAAACAAACAAGTAAGTAAATAGATAAATAAATAAATTGTAAACAATGACATTTATTATGTGCCAGGCACAGTTTTAAGGACATGCTGCATATTATTTCATTTAAATGTCATAGCAGCTCCTGCCGTTCATATCCTCCAACTCCTAAGATGGCGTGGTGCTGCGCTTACGCAGTCTGACACTCAAGATGGAGGGTTCACCTATTATGCTATCCTGCTGGCCTCAGGAAATGGAAAGGAGGAGAAAAGCAGGAGTGAGGACGGATGAGCAACACAAGGTTTTTGAAGTAAACTGAGGTGGTCTAGCAGTTTGGTCAAGGACTCACTTCAAATCAAGATTCAGAGTAACTGGGTTGCCTGTGGGTGGAATGCCATGATGGAGCTCTTGTCTATCATGTGTGATGCCCTGAGTTCAATCTCCAGCACATCTCCCCCAAAGAAAATACACCTGGATTTTCTTATCTCTACTACTAGGTGTTGGATCCCTTTGGATCTGTTTCCGTATATGTAAAATGGAAATAAAACTGTTTCTTACACTTGCGATAAGGCTCACTGGAGATAATATATGCAAATCATCTAGGCTTACCACATGGTCTATAACAGGAACCTTTGATGTCCTTGGCTGTCCTTCCCCCTTGCAGTTCTTCCTGAGCCTTCTCAGGGAAACCTGACCACAATGGAGAAAACATTTCTGACTTGTTGGGGAAATGAAGAACTGGGTGGGGTAACAGTGCTATGCATGCTTTGCCACTTCCTGAGTGGAGGGTCATGGAGTGGGGGCGCTGGTGAGACAGTTTTTTCAGCAACACCTTCTCTTTCCTCCAGGAATCGAGACCAGCAGGCTGTTTCGAGCCCCGTTCCCAGCTTCACTTAGAGTGGAGGTCAGAATGTTCTTTTGTTGGTTGAGAGTAGAACTCAGTGATTATCTGGCATGTACAAGGCCCTGGGGTCCAATGCCTATGCATGCAAAGAAAAAAAAAGACTTGCCTTTCTTTCTTCCTTTTTTCTTCCTTCCTTCTTTCCTTCCTTTCTTCATTTATGACAGGGCCTTGTTTTCTAGCCCAGGCTGGCTTTGACCTAGCAACTCTCTTGAATACTGAGGTTACTGGGTTGTTTTTCCATGTCCTTTCCATATCAATTGTTTTGTTTGCTTCAGTCTTGGGAGCTATTAAGTAAGAAAGGAGGAATGTGGAATGAGGGTTGAACTTTTTCCATGTGCTGGACCATGCTGCATACTTTCCATCATTCAGCTTCAGGGTCTCTTGGGAATAGATGCACTTTATCAGCCCTTTCTAAATGATGCCCTGAATCCAATGAAGGTTTGTGTTCTTTTGGCCCCATCACCCTCAGTACTGGGGACTGAACCTAGGGAACCTCATGCAGGATGCATGCTACATCCATAGCCTCCCTGCTTTTTGAAAACTTTGAGGCATGTTCTCACTAAGTTGCCCAGGTTTCCTTTGCACTTACTCTGTAGGACAGGCAGGTCCTAAATTTGAAATACTCTGACCTCAGCTTCCAGAGTAGCTGGCTTTACTGGCATCTGCCACTGAGCCTGATGGGTTCTGTTTGTAATGTGCATTTTCTTCTAATCCCATTCCTCCAGCCCAGCACTAACCTAAGGCTGGGTCCTAGTGAAGGTGTGGTGATGTATTGTGTCCCCCCCCCCAATATACTGTGTCTCCCGATAAAATTTACCTGAGGATCAGAGGAAAAAGCCAACCACTATATTAACATAGAACACAGGCAATGGTAGCACATGCCTTTAATCCTATCACTTGGGAGGCAGGGATCTGTCTGGATCTCTGTGAGTTCAAGGCCACACTGGGAACAGAGCCAGGCATGGTGATACATGCCTTTAATCTCAGAACTAACCATAGAGATCTGGAGGTCTGTGACAGAGCTGGGCAGGAAGAGGAAGTGATGTAGCTAGGCAGAGAGAGAAATGAGAGAACAGAACAGAAAGGCATATAGGTGTGGGCAGACAGGAAGTAGCTCGCTTTGTAAGCTGCAGAGTTGGTGAGGTGAGGTTAGCTATGGCTTTTCCTATTCCTCTGATCTCTCTCAGGCTTTAACCCCAATTTCTGGCTCCGAGTTTTTTATTAATAAGACCATTTAGCAATTAGTCTACAGTGAGGGTTTTCACTGGGCTGAAATATATCCCATTTTGCATAATCACCAAATCCATAAATTGAAAGTAGTCAGTTCTAGAGGATCTGAGTCCAGAAATAGTGGCACCTCTTACTCCACAAGATTGTGAAAATACTTTCATGAATGTTCTGCTGACTGAAATGCTTCATAGAAACATTACTTAAAATAGGGGCAGCAAATGGCTGGCTCAGTGAGTAAGGGGCTTGCCTCAAACACCTGATGACCTGAGTTCAATCCCCAGGACCCATGTAAGGTAGAGGAGAACTGACTTCCCAAACTATAATTATACTCCGATCTCCACATAAGTGCTGTATACACAGCATACACACACACACACACACACACACACACAATAATAAGTATTTTAAAAGAAATATTTCTTAAAATAGAAGCATCAGTCAGTTTAATCTCAAAAAAAGCTCCAAATGGGACAATGGGGTTCTTCAATCTCTGAACTTCATAAAGTTAGAGCTTCAGGTCTGACAACTGTGGTTGTGTTATTGAATTTGGGGGTCACCACCCATCCTTAATAAATCAATTAGAAGAGCGAAATTAAAAGTGGAAAGCAGAAGCCAGGTGGTAGTGGTGCACACCTTTAATCCCAGCACTCAGGAAGTAGAGGCAGGTGGATCTCTGTGAGTTCAAGGCCAGCCTGGGCTACAAGTGAGTTCCAGGACAGCCACAGATGTTACGCAGAGAAACCCTGTATCGAAAAACAAAGACAAAAAAGAATGCTAAAGGACTGGCCTAGTGGCGGTGGCTCACGCCTTTAATCCCAGCACTCTGGAGACAGAGGCAGGTGGATCTCCCTGAGTTCGAGGCCAGCCTGGTTTACAGAGGGAGATCCAGGACAGCCAGAGTTACAGAGATAAATCCTGTCTCAAAATAAAA